ATCCGACCCCTCGGCGGGAGCGCCACCGCGCTCCCAAGCAGCGCACTGTAGCAGTGCGCCATGGGGCCGGCCCTATTGTTACAATATTTATTGAATGCTTAAGAACCATGCAGGACTACCATGTAGCATGATGTTCTGGACAAAGCCAGGACTCAGTAATAATTTTTTCTTCTGTTTCATAGTGATCTTCACTCAATATAAGAGCTTCTGTAACAAACCACTCCAGCCTCCAGTAGCAGAGCAATTCTAAAAAAATTTGACTAAGGTGCTTCATCAGTGCACTCAGATGGACTACATGTATAAATTTCATGTATTCTACATTGAATTTCTACCAGTTGTGTAGAGATGGCCTAGTATACTTATTTAGGACAGTATGCTTAACATTGGAGATGATCTTAAGAAATTGCAGATTTCTCAATATGGTATTCTAATTAAAACCTAATTAGCAATTTACTGTGCTGGAACTTGGATTTGTAGCATAAAAATAATTTCACTATGCATAGAAAGTAAAGATGTATTTTTTGGCAACATTAGAATTTCAAAAATACAAGGCAGCACATGTGGAATGTAGAGGTGTTAAAAATCTTAAGTGTGGGTTTCTCCATTGCTTTAAGCTTGAGCAGTTTTGTATAATCAGTGAGCTTGCCAAACAGTATCAAAAAACTCATTTTCTTCAAGTGCTTTATTTATCTTTAATAGAACCTTCATCACCCTGGTGTTGTAAATTTGGAGTGTATGTTTGAGACGCCTGAAAGAGTGTTTGTTGTTATGGAAAAACTCCATGGAGACATGCTGGAGATGATCTTGTCAAGTGAAAAGGGCAGGTTGCCAGAGCACATAACGAAGTTTTTAATTACCCAGGTAAGAAATCAATTAGAGACAGAAAAAAGATAATATTTAATATCAAATGTTATCACTGTTTAACTACAGCTTCCTAGCCTTGTTGTTTAGTCCCTCCTTCCAGTCTAAACTACAATAGAAAAGGTTGCAGTGGTTTATTATAGTATCTGATTTATAACTGTTATTCAGAGTCCAAATTCATACCAAATTAATAACATGTATGCAGACCCCTGTATTAGAACTATTCATGAAATTTTAGAATGTACATTGGCTTAGTCCTGACTCTTTGAAAATAAATGTTGAATTCCTTTATCTGTGTCTGTCTTGGTTGCTATATGAATACCACAATATGCTACTCTTTCCATTGAACTTTCCTTAGAAACCTGTTATGTTAATCTAGCTACTTCAGCATCTTGAACATAAACTTGACATTTGTCATGGGTTTTTCTTGGCCTTTTACATTTATGTCCTGGTAGAAAAAATTTTGAAATAAACTGGTAGACTTAAAATAAATAATTTTGGTGATTTCCTTTTTTTATAGATACTTGTGGCTTTGCGGCATCTTCATTTTAAAAATATCGTTCACTGTGACCTCAAACCAGAAAACGTGTTGCTAGCATCAGCTGATCCTTTCCCTCAGGCAAGTATAAATGCCTCTCTCAGCAAAAAGCCAGCTGACAGCATCCCTGGTTCCCACAGCACCCTGTCACCTTTCTTTTTTCCCTCAAAACCTTTATTTGTTTCAAATTTTTCCTGCTTGTTTTCATCAGTTTGTTACCTTCTTATATTCTGGGGACTGTGGTTTTGTCACTGGGTCTTCTCAGTTCAGCCTGCCTTAATAACACACAACTGCACCTTCTCAGTCTGCTTTTCGGCTTCTCTACAACTGGAAGCCCTAGGCCAGTGTGGAAAGCATTGGCCTGAGAGTGAGAACACTTAAAAGAGTCACAGAGATGCTACTGGCTCTGTAATGTTGGGCAAGACATTAAACCTTAGTATTATTTTCAAAGGCAAGGGCAAAACTTTCTTCCTTTCCTCAACCAAGAGGGTGGAAAACAACTGATCTTTCATCCAGGGAATCATAGATCGGAAGTGACCTGAAGAAGGGGACTGTCCTGCCTATGTGCCAATGCAGAGCTAGTATTGAGGATTATTGTGGATGGCATGATTTATCTCTGTACTTATTCTTCATCCTTTACTTATAATAAGCCCTTTAGTTAAGTTCATCACTTCCCTGATGTGCAAAATGTTTTCATGCTTTGTAAACAGTATTTCCCACTCAGTATACTTTTTTCCCACTCAGTATTTCCCACTGAGTATACTTTTTTTCACATTTGATTCTTAGTTTTTTGGGAGAGGAAGGGAGACTGTTTAGATAGTATTTTTATGAATGAAAACATACTTTGGGGGCTGTTTGGTTATCTCAATTGGTTAGACCATCATGTTGAGAACACCAATGTCCAGGGCTCAATCCCTGTACCAGCCAGCCGCCAAAATAAACAGAAAAACCAGAAAACATACTTTTGTATCAGTACATAAACCACTGTCTTCAAGTACATAAAATGGAAAATAGTTCTATCATGAGATAGATAATACTTGTATCATGAGAAATCCCTATCATTTTAGGCAAAGTATTAATGGTTGTCTCTGATGGACCTGAGCGAACACACAAACATGCAATCGTGAACTATTTCCTCAAACCCTTACTGTCAACAGGTGAAACTTTGTGATTTTGGTTTTGCCCGAATCATTGGAGAGAAGTCTTTCCGGAGGTCAGTGGTGGGTACCCCAGCTTACCTGGCTCCTGAGGTTCTAAGGAACAAGGGCTATAATCGCTCTCTAGACATGTGGTCTGTTGGGGTCATCATCTATGTAAGCCTCAGCGGCACGTTTCCATTTAATGAAGATGAAGACATACACGACCAAATCCAGAATGCAGCTTTCATGTATCCACCAAATCCCTGGAAGGAAATCTCTCATGAAGGTAATATCTTCCATTCAGAAATGATGATGGTTTAATCCTTAAGTGTTATGCTATTAATTTAATAGTGAATTATTAAATTGACAAATGCTCACTGTAAAGTACCCACTGGAGTGGAGGTACAAAAGGCACAAATCGGGGTGTGAGAAGTAAAGGAAATGGAGACCAAAAGTGTCTTTTGATGAAGTGTATGTGTATGTATACACTATGTACACACATATATAGAATATATAGTATGTGTATATATACTATATGCATGTATGTATATGTACACACACACACACACACACACACACACACACACACACACACACACGAGAGATTGGGAAATATGTATTAAGATGTAAATGAAACATCCAGGGAAAAGTTGTTCATATTTGGTATATTTCCGTAGAACTTATGAATATTTATACGTGGATGTAATGCTAATAATGAATCTTTAGTAAGGGCTTACTTACCATGTGCCTGGTTCTGTGTTAACCACTTTAAACTATTATCAACATAAGAACTCTATGATATTGATATTTTAATTTCATATTACATATATTAGTATACCAAGTTCTTTGTCTACTGATTTCCTTTGTGTGACATTAAGGTATGTATAATATTTTATTTGGGTATTTCCCTGGAATTTTTAGGTTGTTTAGTATTATAACATCCTATTGTATAATTTCTGTATGTATCTCTGATGAGTTCTTTTGGATAGATTACTTTGGCAGTGTTGCATTATTTAACATTATAATCTTCTTAGCAAATATTTCCCTCCTCTTAAAGGAAAAGAGATAGCTTTAAAAGAAATGGCAGAGTCTGACAGGGTAGAGCCAATGTTGTGTTCAGTGATTCAGAAAGGAGTTTCTCAGTAAACATACTTTGGAGTTTGTTTAATTCTTATAAAAATCCCATAAGATAGGTTTTACTGTTACACTTATATTAGAGGTAAGAAAACTAAAGCAAAAGAAGTGACACCACAGGTCAAGATCACATAGCTAGAAAGTGGCAGGGCCAGAGTTCATACTCAGTCCCTCTGAGCATCTGTCCTTTCACCAGTAGACTCACTTCTTTTCTAGTCTACGGGCAATGTCTAATTCTAAACTTATTTTAACTGTTCAGATTTTCACCACTTAATGAGGCTCATACATTCATAGATAAACATCTCTTACTTGATACCTGCCATTGCATACATTCTATAGATGGGAAAAGAGTATGTATAAACTGCCTAAGGTAAATTAAATTCTTATATTACCACTGGTATTATATAGCAAGAGCTATCTATTATCAGAGCTTTAAGTTACCATTAGCAACTATCTTTAAAACTCTCTAATTAGTTATAAATCATAACTAATGGATATATCTTAGAATCTGTGGCCTACAAAAGAACTATCATCATGTATGCCAAAGGAGTAATTAAATATTTAGGGTAACTCAACAAAGACAAAAAGTGAAATGCAATTATTTTTCTGAAGACAGAAAAGAGGGAATTATCAAATAACCTTATGACCAGTACCCTTGTTAGGCAACACTACCTCTAAATAGAATTAACCATTATACTTGATACCTGTAATCCAGAAGTTCTGTAAGATAACTTGATGTTGTTATCAGAATGCAAATCTGGAATATCTCTGAATCCAGTAAGACACTTTCCTGTTATGCAGGCATGGGTTATTGGAGAAATAACCTTCACATTTTAAAACTTTTTTTCTTGAGTAGTGGAACAGATGATGCCCACTCTCTGCTATCAGGTAAATTTACCTTGCTATGTAGATATAACCTACTTGGATATAGTCTATTTAGGACAGAAACGAATAGATGTAGAAGTGAACATTTAATTATTACTGGTAATACAGATGTGAGGCATAGATATCAATGGATAAAGAAACAGGTGTTGGGAAAACAACGTATATCACAGGTAATACAAAAGTAGAGGATAGAACATAAAATGTGCTTCAAAGCACTTAAAAACTAGTTTGGAAATGAGTTATGAGTTTGGAAAAATAATCATTTATTTCCTTGAGTTGTTAGCTAGGTATAAAATCACGGTCTTCACGTTCAGTGGGAGAATCACTGTGGATTTGACTAGTTAGAATTGCATTTTCAGAGGAGATGGAACTTAGGTCAGTCACTGAAGAATGGAAAAGAAGAGGTACAGCATTTTAGCAAGAAGGAATTATACAGGATAATTCAAAATTCATTTATACCTGACCAGAAAGTAGACATTTTACTTGGCTATAGAAATGTCTAAGCACTAAAAATTTCCTGCCACTCAAAGTGATGTGGAGACCAGCTCAGGTGGAAGATAGAACCCTCCTCACTTTTCCAAATGACTCAGTATCAGTTTAAGAATTAACTGGCCTCTCTGTCCAGTGCCTCTTTCTGGTTCATCCTTGCCTTTGAAGCACAGGAGTTGTCCTGTCTGCTAACAGAAGCTGTGGATGGCAAATGAGTTATCACGCTGTCTCTATGAACAGAACTCATGCTTGAATATAGAGGAAAGTTAGTTCAATTATGTTCAATATCAGCTGAGGTATTACAAAGGTAGTTACTGACCCACATTCTCTCCCACTATCTTGTTAAAAACAAATATTCTCTGATTAGAAGTTATAACAAGGCTGGTACCAAATAATTCTAAGCATGTAGGATGTGACAAATATACAAGCAGAACTAGTATCTGGCAAAAGGTGGTCTCAACTGATATTAGGTCAACTTTTAGTCTCAGGATCTTTACACCACACCAGAAACACTAAGAATCCAGATGCAGGGAAATAAACATCTAGGTATCTCCATGATTCTGGAGTCAAAGGTAAAGGTCAACAATAGTCAAGCAGTTAGAGATATAGTTCTATCTGCTATTCTGATTAGTCATCACTAGCAAAAGAAAATGTTAAAAGGTCTTTATAGCATGCATAGATGTGTCAGATTGAAAGGATTTCTTTATCACATACATTGCTCTCTTAGTGTAGACATGAACTCGTATATCGGGGTGATTGATTGAACAGTCATTGTGCTGCTTGATCCTCACAATAATCCTGTGATAAGTAATTGGCTTTAGTCTCTGTATTAGAGAGAAACCTGAAGATTTAGCGACTTGCGTAAGGTCACACAGTAATCTTGAAATCAAGGGCTCAGACTTGAAATCATTTATTTGCATCTGTTCTTTACACTATACATTGTTGTACACCAAAGTGTGCTTATTTCTTATGGCTTGATTTTTAGGGACCTAAAGAAATACATTATACTCATTAATTATTCTTGCTACGATAATATAATAAACTGAATACTGGCATTCTGGCGATATGCTTACTAATAATTTATCGATGAATTAATCAGGATTTGTGTTTAAATAACAGAAACGTATCTCTAACTAACTTAGGCAAATAAGATAACTTATCAACTCACACAACTGGGAAGTTCAAAAGGTCAACCTCAGATTCAGCTGGATCGTAAAGTTCAAGTCTTAGTTTCTCCATCTCTCAGCTCTGCTTTCCTTTATGATGACTTCCTTCTCAGGCGAGCACTTCATGTGGCATAGAGTGATCCTCAGCAGCCCCAGGCTTTTGTGCTGTATTTATAGTACTTGATCTCAGAATGGAAGAACGGTCATCTCTCAGTAGCCACAGAATCATGGAAAGGGGCACTGATTGACTATGCTTAAATCCTGTAATGCCCTGGAAACAATCATGCACTCACCCCAGGAGCCTGGCTCTGATTGACCAGGTGGGAGAGGAGGAGTTCCTGCAGGGAAAAGATTCTAGGCTAAAAATAAATGCAAAAGCTTTATTTAAAAATAGATCTTTGGGTGTGTGAATCAAGGTGTGATTTGAAAAATAAGAGAAAATTTGAGTAAAACTTAACTTAGCAAATGTTACAAGTAAAATGAAGATAGTAAAATTAAATTTTGAAAGAAAAATATTAATAGCTAACATTTCTACAGCATTTTCCCTGTAGCCAAACACTACTCTGACCGCTTTACATATATGAATTCATTTAATTGTGCCTAACGTTTGAATCGATACTATTATTGTTTCCATTTTAAAGATGAGAAAATGTAGGCATGGAGGGTTAGGTGGTTTGCCTGGGTGGGACCAGGGTGCAAATCCTGTTTGCTGGCTTCAAGGGAGATGTTCTTATCCACAGCATTGACAGCCATCCTGTCACACTAAATTTTTAAAATGCTTTCACTAACTTAGTGCTAGTAGCAACACAATTTTTAATAATCTCTAAAAATACTGGGAAACAGGATCATATTGTGACAAAGTATTGATTTGAGAGCTCTACTACTTAGTATCTTAGTGACCTCATCAGAGTTACTTATTCTCTTAGGCCTCAGTTTTCTTTTCTAAAATATGGTGATACTAATTCCTACCTCAGTGTGTTATTGTAAGTATTAAATGAGATTGCACTGAAAAGTGCTTAGCACAGTGATTGGCATAACTACATTAGCTTAAATATATTGCTTTCTATTTCCCAGTTGCTTTACATAGTCTATCTATCCTTCTGTCTATCTGTCTATCTGTATGTATTTAGTTTTTATATCTGTATGTACACACAGTTATTTATAAAGTTATATAACTAAATGCTTTTTTATATATTTAACTATAGTTAATATAATATGGTTATCTCTAATTATATGTAACTAAACACATACATTATATAAATATTTCTACATATATAACTGTATGAGGGGTCTTCAAAAAGTTCACAGAAATATTCATATGATCTTTTAATTCTATTTTTCCAAAAACTTTTTGAAGAACCACCTTTACATAAGATTGCTTGTACAGTAGTCCCCCCTTATCTGTGGTTTTGCTTTCCATGGTTTCAGTTACCCACATTCAACCACAGTCCACAAATATTACAAACAGTAATGTCTTTTGAGTGAGAGACAGAAAGACCAAAAGACCACATTTATATAACTTTTTTTGCTGTGTCTTGTTATAATTGTTCTATTTAATTAGTCGTTACTGTTGTTAATCTCTTACTGTGCCTAATTTATAATTAAACTTTAT